CCCGCGCCCCCCAGCCTCTCTAAGCTCCGAGGGAGGTAGCGGGGCAGGTGCCCCTCTCCCCTGCGCCTCTGGAGCCAGCCCAGTGGGGCGGCACTGCGGGGGGCAGCCCCTCGCCCAGCCACCTGGGCAAATGGATCCCCACCCCACCCCCCGGTTGTGGTGTGACAGGGCCCCCCCATTTCCACTCCTGTAAGACAGGAGGCCTGTGAAAAGGATCAACTCAATGTGAGGGGGAGGATGTAAGGTAACCCCACCTTCTACGATGTCTTTTCCTGACAGGGAAGAAATTTGTGTATGTCGAGCCGCCTAAGAGAGTGAAGGAGATCCTGGAGGAAGAGCTTTATTTTCAGAGAGACGAATGTCAAATTAAACAGCCGGCCGCAGGTAATTGTTCTCCGCGCCTGCCAGATAAGCAAGTGTTTGAGAAATGGCATCAGACGCACTCATGAGGGGTGACGCAGGCGAGCATCCTTGAAAGCCAAAGGTGTAGTCGCATTGGTAGTCTAATTAGCTCAATGGCTCGGGATTTGCTTCGTGGGTCTGAGATTAGGGGAGTACGTAATAGAGCATGGAGTAGTTCATCCGATGCATCAGTCTGACATTACGCAGACATCTGGAGATGATCCATTAGCTTGATCCAATTCCCCTATGACAGATATTATCTTCTTGATAGCACTATACAGAAGAAATGGCTCTTTTCCTTTCAAGAAACAAAAAATAAAAACAAATCAACAAAACCCTCGCAAAGCATTTGGGCTCTGATTGCCAGATTGTATTAGTAAATAGTATTTATTCAGGCAAAGGATTTTTGGCACTTGTATGCTTCGCTTGTGGTTATGGAGGAAGGCTACTTTAGTCTAAACGTCCTGTTTGTGAGTTTAGTCCCTGGGACTAGAGACGTGCTTTAAAATATGAAACCTAACTTATAAGAGGCAAAAAAACACGACGAATTGCCATTTGAAATCTAGAATTGATTTTCAGCATTCCATAGCATTTTAATTTTGCCACGGAAAAAATTAGACTACTGCTGGACCAGGACCTGCCACAGCCTTCTGAATTTTGCCTAGCCCTATGGATATTTTTTTCTTAAATAAAACACCTAGGGATTAAAATACAAACTGATATCAGGTTTTCTATCTAGAGTAGAACTTTCTGCAGTTTATATATAAAATCAGTTTGTACTTAGTTGGAATTTGTTTTTAAAATATTTGGTCTGTCTAGCTTGAAGTCACAAGTTCAGTATCCTATTTTTGTAGCTATATTATTACCAGTATTTAATATGAAACCTTGATTTGCAACACTTTGTATCTCTTAGAGTTTCCCAAATCACATGTGATATACCTTGACTTTAGCAAGGCCTTTGTCAGGGTCCCATGATATTCTCATCAACAACGAAGGAAATACAGACTAGCTGAAAGTACGGTGAGGTGGGTACATAAATGGTTGGATCATCATGCTCAGCAAGCAGTCATCAATGACTCAATATCAGGTGGGGCTCCCCAGGGTCTGCTCTGCTTCTGGTATTGTTTA